CCCACTTATTCTGTTGAAAGAGGTTCGCAAATCCCTTGAAGTCTCTCCTCCTAATGATCAGGATGATACCGAGTTGATCTCAATGTTACTTCAGTTGTGCGAAGCACAATCTCCTGTTAAGTTCTCAATTGATAAGACCAACCAAGACCGTTACCGTAGACCTCTTCATTTGTTAGATATGATGTATCGTGTGATTGTAAACAGCCCGGGTTGTGTCGTGTCCGGGTCCTTAGAAAATCGCCCCGTTCAAACTGTACCAGTTTATACAGAATTTAAGAATTCATTAACCTCTTCATCCAGCACCTCCTCGTCCTCCTCGAGCGATGGGGAAGATCCAGACGTGGTTCACAACAATTTGGAAGCAATCTTGGACGTAGTGGAGACCATTGGTACTAAGCGTGCCCAGGACCTTCTTAGGCCTGTTAAGGCTGTCTCGAGCATTCCATGGTCAGCTCTTTCTGGGCTGTTCAGAAAAGGCAACCTAAGTACTGGTGAGCGAAATCAAGAAGACGATGAGATTGCAATTCCATCGGTATCTCATCTTTGGCATTACGCTGGAGTCCAATGCAAACCCTTTATTGGGAGCATCAATGAGATCAACTTCGTGGAAGGGGAGGCCACTTTGTACCTTCCTGTGATGAATTTGAACGCGAGCTCAGAAGTGATAATGAGGAATCTGGTGGCTTACGAGGCTGCTATGTGTAAATCAACCCTTGAATTTGCTCGATACGTCAACCTCATGAATGGGATTATAGACACCGCAGAAGACGTGAAGCTGCTGAAGCAAAATGGGGTTATCAAGGGTGCTCTCATGGATGATGAAATTGCTGATCAATTCAACGGTATGAAGAGATGTTACGCTGGCTCAGATCAGAAGTCCAACATTGAGGTTGCTATTGACAAAGTTAACGACTTCTACAGCAAGAAACTTTTGGTCATGATGGTTAGACGGTTGAAGAAGGACTTGTCTACTTCATGGAAATGTCTGGCCGTGGTTTCCACTGTGGCGCTGCTGGTCGTGCTTAGCATGCAGACCTTTTGCGAGTTCTATCAATGCAGCAAAATCTGGAACTTCAACAAGGAATCATCATGATAATCCCTATCAGCACCAGCGCGTAAAATGTGTAATATATGTTTTATTTATTTATTCTTTTTTTATCATTATTTTTTGTTCATATCTTTATTAATTTATTGTTTCTCAAGGAAGTGGTATTCATATCTAGAATGCCAAGAAAGGAAAAAAAAAATGGCCAAGCGAAAGATATACTTGTATACTGATTCTGTATTGTTTAATTGTATTTTATCGCTCCATTGGACCAGAATACGACTTTTAGACCACCTGGAATTAGGTGTTGCTATTCTTTTTTTTTTTTCGGATCAAATGCATGCACTACACATCCGTCAGAATTTTTTTGAAACAAATCCACATTCTAAACCAAGCCTTAAAGGCTTCATAGTGGCCACCAGCCCAGAGGCTGGTGGTTTAATTAGGTGTTGCTATTCTAGTATCAGTACAATGTTAAGCAAAGCGTAGCATGATACACCACTGAAATCTGGAAATTTATGTATTTGTTACTTTGTAATTATCAATCAGATTACGCTTCTCAAGATTGTCATCTGTCTTAGTGTTTCAACCAACTGTTGAACGTGATCAATGTTTCCTTTTACTTTGTGGTCAGGTCTTCAATTTGCACAACATGAAGTAAAGAAAAAAATTATTTGTCTCACTTTTGAAAAGAATAATAAATGTGCAATTACTAATACAATATGCATATAAACACCCTCAGGTGCTTGAGAGGAGAAAGACAACATAGCTTTAACAGCGGAGTTGTATGTTAATGGTAAAGAACAAAAAAGGTAAAATATATATATATATATATATATATCTTCAGATCGGTGGTCTTGTCTGGTGTATCTGAGTTGTAGTAAAGGACGAAAGGGGGGGACGGGGGAATCGACAGAACAAGGTTCTTATCTTTTTCTTTTTCTTTTTTTATTGCAACATAACAGTTCTAAGTTGTATAAAATGGAAAATGAAGCTGGTCCTGTAAATCAGTTTCATCGCAGTAAAATTTGATGCATAGTGCAGAATATATGACTTACGGGACAATATTTCATAAAGTTGAAATCTAAAATTTGAAAATTGAAAATTTTAATACAACACTCTGAATTTGATGAATCCATAAAGTCAAATCTGTCTGCAGGATTTAAGCACCGAATTGAAATATTGTCTTTTATGTATATCATGAAATTTAATACCAATAGCTTATTAAACTTTGGATGAAGTTAATTTTTAATTATTACTTGACAATGTTGATCCAGATTTAACTAAAATGTTCTCCTACTTTAATAATTGTTCCATCCCTCACTAATTTGGACTTGCTATTGTTTCACGTTCTCAAATCTGAATCCGATGCATTAAAAAAAGACAGAGACAGATATTTTGTCCGATTGCAGTAGGAAGAATGCAGCACTCAACAAAATATTAGAGCATTTTTCTAATGGCTACTTGCTAATACACATAATTTATAATACTTGCTAAACTTACCGTATGGTACACATACTCGCATTTATCGCAGACTTTCTGAAATTAATAGAATCACTTTTACCAAATATTTAACACGTGCATCCATTAGGCAAGCCCATATTTAAAGGGCAAGATAAGGCGTATGTATATCAAGATTTGAACTAATCTAAAAGGGGGGTTTTTTTAAAAAAAAAAAAAAAAAATTGCGGTTAGTGGCTATGGGCACCAGAAAATTGAAAACCTACAGGTTTTTGAAGGAACGGAAGCGTCTCACTTGTGCTGCTATCGCTGCTTGCAGTGCAGTCATTTTGGCAGGTCTATGGTTGCAGTGGACGTTGGCTTGCCAAAGCCGGGTGATTTCAATTCGAGTGCCACAATCGATCCCCTTAGATGATGCCGGTATTCCCATGTATGCCATGATGATGTACGTAGATTCACCTGAGCTGATGTAGTACGTCTTTGTTGGGCTATAAACCCTATTTCATGCTGGTATACTAAACCAAGTCTAAAAGCTAGTAGTAGAAGTTTCTAAATGGTTATTTAGCAGTGTTTTAATCAAGTCAGGTTTTTAATAGTTTTATTGTAGAAATCAGTGTCTTATTAGCAAATTTCTTGCGGTTACAAGCACGTGTTGGAGTGCTAAACCACATTCATTTAAAAGTTTATTTCTATACAAGAATACAACATCTATTCATACATTATAAAAAAAAAAAAAAAAGTACTATTATACTAAGCAAATCTCCTGTAATTATGCTACAAATATGCTAAACAGATATCCTATAATTATGCTAAGCAAATCGTGATTAGACATATTTCTATGCTAAACACCTGTAATCATGCTAACGATGTAGTTTATTCATTCCTCTGAAGCAGAATTGTAAAGTGCTAACGACGGAGTTCATCTGGTCATTTTGGAGAGTCCAAATTCATTTGATAGAGCTTAAAGAGCCAGCTAGGAGCCCAAAGATTAGTTTCTTTCCTAAGAGGGCCTCCGCCCCTCCACTGCTCCAAACAAAGAATTCCATCAAGTCATTCGTGAAGGACACAACTCTGCTTTTTCAGTCCCTGGTTTCCATGGCTCTTCCGGAAGCCTGATGACCAACTCTTGAGCCCAATGTTTTCAAACAAAACGCCTCATTTTTTAAAGCAGGCCCATTGGGGCACGAGAAATCAGTAGTTTTCACGCGTACTACGGTTTTCGTTTCTTTTTCTCAAAGTGGATTCTCCATGCCTGTGATGGAATTTTTTTAAATCTTTTCGAAAGCTAAAGGTTAAATTGGATTATTCTGCAGAAACAAGATTGAAAATGGTGAGTACCTTAGGCCTAGTTTGGATGGAGGGATTTGAAAAGAAAGAAGGAAAAAGGAAGTTAAACGCACATCTTTCCTTTGTTTGTAAATCTTTGTTCTCTCACCTTAAACGGAAAGAAAAAGGAAAGAAAGGGTGAAAAATGGAGAGATGAACAAGTACAAAAACCCTAATCTCCAATTATGGATATATGCGGCAAAAAAGTGGAAGCAAAACTTCCAAACTTGTTTCAACGCCAAAGTTGTCTATAAAGTACCAATGAATGAGTTACTGATATCACAATTATCTTTTTTCTTTCTTAAACTCCCAAACAAGTTAAAACTCTCTTCTCCTCTCTCTCTCTCTCTCTCTCTCTCTTTTCTTTCCTCCCATAGCTTAGACATTCTATCCCTTTCTTTTCCCTTCACAACCCCAAACTCGGCCTTGGAATCAAAAGTGTTACCCTTCCAAGTTCTAAGCTTCCAAATTTTATTGACTAGAGAAACTTTTTAACATGTACATTATCTCCCCCATGTAAACAAGAAACAAAGAAAAAAAAAAAAAAAAAAAAAGGCCCGGCGGAGAAACGGAAGAAGCAGCAAGTTTGGACACGGCCATAGGGGTTGGGTGCCTTAGTAAAAGCTACAGTTGATGTTTGTTTACCCTAAATTAATTGTGTGTATCAGTAGGGTTTCCACTCTTTCAGCATTTGACTGGTCAAGAATATACGCAGGTAGAAATAACCAAAATGGTCAAAGTCAAAAAAGGCCTCAGCAAGAGAAGGAGACGAAGATTATGTTACTAGTTACTACTTACTCGCATACAAGTAATAAGACAGAATCGTGACAATCCCATATGAATACGTCTAAGTTAGATATTTACAGGCAATTTACCATGAGAAGGAAAAAATGAAAGTTCTTGTTCATTGATCATCTAAAAGCAAAAGACTCAAATGCTTGCACTCGACCGACTGCAACAAAATTTTGAGGCATCTTTGGGCCAGTATCCAAAGCAATACTATTGAATGCTCTTCTCAATACAGTGAAATTTCCATCAAGTTTGAGAGACAAACATTTATACGTCCTTCATTAATAGTTTTATGGGGAATTGTATTTGAAGAAAACATTGGCAGTAAATTGAGTAAGGATGAATACACCAAAAACGGCTCTATAATCATAACCTGAATTAAGAACGAATAGTACAACGTGAAAATCTCAAGACAAAATGTACAAAACCATAACTTGGAATTGGGAATCACGTGATGCCATTAAGACAAAACAGCCCGACCAAGTAAATTAATTAACCCACAATGAGGAGGAGAGGATTCTTTATGGACCTCTTTTTTTTCTTTTTTTTTGTGGGTAGGCGGGGTTCTGGGGAAGGGGAAGGATGGTGACAATTGTTGCCTGATCGAGTCGGTCAAATCTCAAAGAACTAAGTAGTAAAAAGTTACTATTAATTATCTTTAGAACTGTCTAGCATAGTGGTGATCTATGGGGAACTCTTTTTCTTCTACTCATGCTTGTAGCCATATCCTCATCTGTGATCTTAGTTGCTGATCTTCCACAAACGTATAATCCACTTCTCTTCTTCCTCACAAATTCGGTGCACATAAAGCTCATATTCTCAGACCCCGAAGAGCCCGATGAGGAGCTCAATGGCTCGTCACAGTCCACAATTGTTGAATGAGGGGTCTCATTTGTCATTTCATCATCACCATAATCTTGAGGAATGAAGAAGTCTGGACTAAGTTGTAAGACTTTGCATGCCCTCAGAAATGGAGAGAGGTCCTTGTAGTGTTTAAGCACAGAGTCAACCTGGTTGTCATTAAAACGATCACGAAATTTTGCTACTTACCATCAGAATTTCCAAGACCTTACAACCACAACTTGTGATACATGCAAAACTATCGTGTTTAAGTATTACCCTATAAAAGCAAATTAATTTCGACAACATTCATGATAATTGTATGATGATTAAATTTGGGCTCCATAGATGAACAAGTATTTAGTAGTACGATTTTGCTAAAGAAGATATGTCTGTGGGATGTGAGACTCACAGAATCGAAAATCGACTTGAATTTAGAATTTACCTTGCACCCAAGAGAACAATGAATGAAGGGTTCTTGGAGACACCTATCACAAGAGGTGCAAAAATTCCCGGACCCCTTAAATTGCCTGTTTTGAGGTCTTTTCTTGATGAACACCACCTTTGCAGCGTTAATTGTGTAAGCCTGCAGGTTGTTACAATATAGGTGTTGATCAGCTCATTTATTGGCATGATATAGAGGGAAATTCAAGTAGAAAAATCAAGTTTAAGCACTAGAACATTGCCATATTTTCAGGTTAGATATTTCTGATTACCTGAACGTTGGAGCAGTCAATGAGTTTCTCTAGGTCTTCCAATCGAACAACATCATGATATACATAACGTCGAACTTGAAGAAGCCTATGGAATCGATGAGACATGACGCAGTGCGGACAAATACTTGTACAGCAATCCAAGCAGCAGATGTTTTTTTCATTCTTCTTTGCACTTTCATGAATTGAGCATGGCACGAAAAATTTCTGCACATACAGCGCTTCCAACCACGCAGGCTTGTGAATTCCCTACAGATTTATATTTTTACATATGATCATCATATTAAATTTCAAGTTAACTCAATTCTCTCAATTCAAACTAATTTTTTCGACAACCAAAAAATAAATTAAAAATAAAACACCAACAACAAGAAGATGAAACCCTGTCCTGAGATGACCTACCATGATCACTTGATCAAGAAACTCGTCCACAAGTGGATAGTGGATGACTGGATGACAAGCCAACTATTATGTATGAGCGAGAGAGAGAGAGAGAGAGAGAGAGAGAGAGAGAGAGAGAGAAGGCTTTGGGGTATTGATGATATTACAGTATTTATGGAGAATCACAAGAGAAGAGAGGCCAGGGAGGAGATATATTTATTCCTAGATTGGATACACAACATATCGTCAAGAGTATCACTTGTCCTTTGTTAAATTAGTGCGTGTGATGTGTGTGTGAGGAAGAAAGAGCAATAAAGAAAGGGGGAGTCAGATATGAGGAGAACGTGGGCGCTGTTCCCGTGTCTCCCATAGCCTACTTCCCCCACTTAGACTAAATTTCCAATCTCCTTGTGTTGAGAGCTTTAACCTTAATTTAAACAACTCCTTGGTTGAGTGAGAACCCCAAGGAATTTCTTTTCTTTTTCTTTTTTAACCTAACACATACCGGTAATAAGTTTTTTGTTTTTTTGAATCTCATTTCTCGGTGAAATAGGGCGGAGCTAGCTAGTTGCCTTGCCTTGATTCTTGAACTAAGCCAGAAGTAAAGAAGAATTTGTCTTGAATTTACTTGTTTTATATGCCACTAGTATATTATCTTTTTTAGCCTATAGAGTTAAAACCTTTAACGTTTAAATTTTTGCAAAACACGTTCCTGCCCGTCCACTTACTGAAGGTTGCATCGTGGTGTGCGTTATCATTTTGTGTCCCTAAAATATCTATTTTTACTTCTTCTGGGAAACTTTAAAACGAGAAAGAAAAGTGCAGCAGAGAGAAACAAAAGCACTTTGGTGGGTCTGGGATTAGGCGACGAGCTGAATGCATTTTCATCTTCGACTACCAGCACGCATGAACAACGTCGTCCATGATATATATAGTTGAAAGGTAGGTAAGATTAAAATGTGAAACGTTGAAAATTGAGAAAAAAAAAAAGTAGAGTAGCATTTAATTACAAGCTTATTTATTTCACTGTGTCGTAACTTACTTCTGCTGGGAGCATTTGCCTTGGGGATGAATGGCTCAAGGCTAAGTTCATGAACCAGAAGATTATACAATCCACAAAGTGCCGGTGGATGTCAAGGTCTGCAGTACTGCATTATTATCTAGAGGGTTAAATTTTGACTTTTACCAATTTGAGTAATTAGTGCGATTTTTGACTTGTTCATGTTAAGTGATGATTAGAGGGAATAATAGAGTCCAGTTTAGCGGTATGATTAGACGTCAAAAGAAAATTAACAAGAATAACTTGTCAGGGTATTCTTTATAGACCGGTGCAGAAGTACACTAATTAACCCACACATATAGGTTTTATGTGCTTGTGAAACAGTGCAATTGTACACTACATGCATCCAGAAGGTCCGAGAACCAAAAGTTAAGTTACTATTTGCATAGTTAATTTGTACAAATAATTATTCAGGATTAATCCTTTGGCGGACCAACATTGTCCTTGATCATGCAATTTGATAACAGCGGTTCAGCTATCCAACTGATTAAGGATAGCAAACCATACTCGTTTTCGTTGAATTTGCCGGCAAAAGAGGCGAAAAGAGGAACCAAACGAAGAAGCAAAAATGTGATGAAGAAAAATCCAATGTGCCGGACCAGAGAAAAAGGCATACAGCCGAAAAGCGACGACAAGCAGATCGAGCAAAGAACCATAGAAAAGGATGCCGTTTGTTTTCTCACTGATTGGCTTTGTTTATATCCATGATTTTAAAGAGGTAATGCATTACAACTAAAGAAGATCGAGGTCATGCGTTGCGTCTGCCGTCACATATTGACTTGATCTCCCATAACTCTCATTGGGCAGAGACCAGACATGTACCAGGAAATTCGGTTTTTGGGAAATTAAAAATGGCAACAATACACAGCAACTCCACTAGTCCTCAAATTTTGGCTAAAATAATAGCATGCGTTCTTATATATGAGGGGCGTTGACAGACAAAACACACTTCACTGATCACTGGTTGAGATAATAATAGCCCTCCAACCTGATTAGTTGAGTATTCGCTAATTTTTAGGCACCATTAATGTTTGTTGCACCTTTAACCTTAATCAAGAGGTACCCTGGGGTTTGAAGGTTCCACGGATTTCGAATCTCTACTCCGATCTCTCCTTCAGTCCTCTTTTGCTTCCTTTGTTATCATAGATAAGCTGTCTATTTAGATGACTATTTATCGATCTCTAGGAAATTGAAAGTTTCCCTCTTTTCTTTTCATTGTGTTTTTGTAAGAAAAACACAATGACTCTTTGAAGATCAGACATTTAGTTACATATCATGGAATAGAAGAAGTCTTCGACTGAGCTCAGAGGAGACAAATGGGGTGTAACATTTGCTTTTAGGAGTCAAAGGTTACGAATACATAAATAAAGGAGCAAAAATATCACTTAAATTTACACTTGAACCATGTAAAGTTAACGTATGATAATTGGTATTTTATTGCACATGTTTATTGTGGTCAAACGAATAATAGATTTTGCATTATGGTCAAACGAATAAAGTTTTGATCTCTTCATCATTATCACCTAAGAAATAGAAAGTTTACACAAAAGTAGCGGAAGTGATGGATGGAAAAGCGTATGCGAGCAATAGCTGTCGTGTAATAATGTGTATGCTGCTGCCAGGAATGTGAGGTTCAAAGAGTACTTTGATCTGGGTTTTACTTGCGTATCCATATAAGCTCCGCGTTCTATCCCATGCAAGCTCAAACTTGAGGTACAAGAAACTGAAAGTAAATGAGGAATATTCTTACTTCAGTCCAACCCAAATGCTTAGCAATTAAGCTGCATAAGAAATAGAGCTCATTGTAGAGTAGAAATACCTCATGATTAAGCAGGAGGTCAGATTAAACCAGGCATTATCTCCTTGCCGCATACGAGGTTATAACATCTACGTAAAGGCTCAAGTTGTTACATTTATCAGAGATAATAAACAGTTATTAATGTGTTGTGTACAAGGATTAGGTTACTGACCACTTACTTGGTTGATTGGTCTAACCATTCCTGCCATATGGCCAGTTCCCAGTCCTAGTTGCAGCACATTCATATTTAACCTTCTTTCCTTCCGAAACGAAACAAAAACCCTTATTTCTAATTTTTCCTGCAAACTTTGGAATCAAATAGCTGGATTTTGAGTCATTGGCTATGCTTATTATAGCCTCATATAAATACATATATATATATATATATATATAATCGACAGCTGTCAACGTCGCAAGCTAGCCCATTCAGTATTGCTACGTCTTCTATTGTTATAAAAAAAAAAAAAGGGAAATTCGAGCAGCTAGCCAGCTAGCAAGAATTAATATCCATGGTGCTGCACCAATAACAGTGACAATCAGTGATGGAGGGGTAAGAGGGAAAAAATAAAAATCAGTGATGAAGTTGGGAAGATTGTCATCAATTCTTTCGACCGCGCTACAACAGCAGGGCCTGCAACAGTCACCTAGTAGACAGCAGGGACGGAGCCAGAAATTTATTTTTGGGGGGCTGAAGTGTATTAAAAATTTTTTTGTGTGACGAAATAAATATATTTAATAAGTAAAATTTAGAATCAATAATTATAAAAATAATAAAAACATATAATTATACATACCCAAAATTTTGTTATTGATTAACACTTGAAGTATTGGTAGTTGTTGCACTCGAATAACGAAGAGGAGGCAATTGCATTCTGCGAGTCTTCATCCGTTGAAAACGCTGCAATATTTGCTCATTTTCAATTGTTGCAAAAATATTCGCTTTTTTGTGAGTCAAAATATATTTAGTCCTGCTAGTTTCATTTTACCTTTACTCTTAACTGAGCTTAAAGTTGGAAAAGTCAATTGCGGAATGGAACCTTGGAGGTCCATTTGCAATACAATTTTCTCTTTTCAAAATTTTTATAAAAGAAATGCAGTTTTAATGTAAATCTGCTTTCTGAGAAACACTTTTTAAGCTGCTTTGAAAAAGCTAAAGCATATGAGAAACAGCTCCTTAGCCTTAGCCCAATAAACATGTATTAGCAGAAATGCTTTAGTAATGCTCTCAGCTGGCACTCTCATTCACTCTTGTATGGGCTCCTGTTGTGCAGAAAATATATATTAAATGGGATTTAGAATCAGACAGTTCCAGGAGGATTTGGATTGGGGTATTAATGTCATCTTTAGAATTAGATACTTTAGCTAAATTGCATTAATGTCCTTGAACTAAAACTAATTTGCAAACAAAGGTCCTCCAATGGACAGGTCGTACCCATCCATCATCTACCATCAACAACGGTCCAAAGAACAAAGTTAGTAATCGATGTAAAGATCATCTGACTCCAAATAAACCCCCAAAGAAAGATATTTCCATAAACCCCAAAGAAAGATATCATCTGATCGCATAGATAGTGGGCTGGGCTGGGCTGGCCGCCGGAATCCCCTATATTAGGGGGTTTTCCGGCGGCTTGGGGGGGGGGCTTAAGCCCCCACCAGCCCCCCCTTAAATCCGTGGCTGGTAGACAGAATGTTGGCAATCTTATGACTGGACTGAAACTTCTGTTTTTCTTTTTCTTTTTGCTTTTTCCCCCCCTTGTTGGTTAATGTTGGTGGTCTGATGCAATCTTTCACAGCAATGTACGCAAGTAATGAAGCTCACGTGCAGAGAATCCAATGAACTGACTTTCATATGAGAAATCCATATTGTCGAAAGCCTAAAGGAGGGTGCTTAAGAGCCTCGTATTTCCCCAAATATTCCTCTCTCTTTGCTTGCTTGCATGTTGTTCATTTTTTTTTGTTGGCTTTGTTGTGGACTGAATCTCACACCATGTCACTCCACTGAAACGCTCTTACCCACAGCGGGATCAGAAACTCAAGAAGTTGTGGACACTCAACTTGCGAGGCCAGTCATCACAGATACATTTTGGATACCTGATTTTTTTAAACTATTATTTTTGCTTATATTATAAATACATTCGCTAACTACATTTTCTATTTTTAGAATTTTTTTTTTATCTCACATACATTATATAACAAAAAGTATTCCAACTATCATTTCAAGTAATACGATAAACACGCTCATTGTATTTGTAGTACTGCCAAATTAAGCTACATGCTATTTTGGACCGTATATCTTAACTGTTAGGTGCATATTAAACGAGAGTACATTCATCTTTTCTATCTTATGTACTTAAAGTAACATTACTATTTCTACAAATAAACTAATTAAATAAGCATATTTGTGCACATCATGTGGTCATGGGAGGGGTCAACAATTTAAAAGCATTCTAAGGCTATAGAACAATGCCGAGATCAGGTAAATTTAGTTCACCACCTTGTAATTATTGAGAGTATACAAGGATGACCGTGAAAAATTTAAATTATTAAGAAGTACTTTGATTTGACTCTCAAGTGTTTTTATTTTCTCATCTTTTTCTCATAAGGTTTGGAATCTTTTGTTTTTTGGCAATGTAGTCAAATTTAATAATGAAATATCTAAAAAAAAAAAATCGACTAGCAAACAATTGTTTAGAATGTTTATGGTAAATATTCATTTAACGTGTATGGAAGTCTGGCTTTTGTGCTTGAAAAATTTGACATTCCTGCATCTCTATTAATTTAATTAAATTAAACGAGTGGTGAGAGGGGAAATTTGTAAAAAAAAAAAAAAAAAAAAGATTACAAGCTGTAAAATGGGTTTGTAAGTAGACCAACCACGACCGTAGAATAGCAATATGGTTTGGTGGCCGAATGTACCGTCCCAAACTGTTGGGACTGAAAATTGTTCGAACCCGCCTTCTTAAATATGACGTAGGCTTTCAAGTTTCGGGTTTGTCTGGTCAAAGTCAAAGATCCAGAAATGCACGAGGGTGGGAGGTGGAAGAAAGAAGAGAAAAGGGGAGGAACAAACAGAATGGATCAGCGTTTGAGCCGCACGAGGGGGGATCTTTCTGCAGCTGAGCCCTGAAAAACTCTGATTTTTTTGTTCTGTTCAAAAAATAGTCTTAGTTTTTTAGGCTTCTACACGCCTCCACATGGCCTCCTTTTAATTTAGGGACTTGTTCAAACCAAAACCGACTCACCAAAAGGAAAGAAATATCAACCCAAAAAATAAAAATAATTTCAAGCTGTGCTCAAAGGGGTAAAAGAAATTGAGCACTCTATGATGCTCGTATCGTATATAGGGGGTGACAATGGAGTTCGGGTCGGAATTGAAAATTCTGGACCCAGACTCGTTTTTATGTAATAGATTCAATCCGACTCGTATATCCGACGGATCTTGATCTTAGAGTTCCGGAATCGTATCTGGGTCAAATCCGAGTCTAAAAGGTTCAAGTTTAAATATTTTAAAATTAAATCCAAAACCAATCACAATCCAATCTTCAAATTTAAACAAATCAAATTACAAACCTAAATCACAAATAATTTGCAATAGTCAAACCAAAACTAACCACAAATCAATCTACAAAATTATTACCAAATTGTTAATTTGTAAAAGAATGTATTTAGAAATATTTATATTTTATAATTATTTATATGTTGTTCGAATCCGGATCAAATACGGATCGGAATCCAATATTCTGCATTCGACCAGTCTTTTTATTTGAGTAAACGGGTCCGAATCCAAGTTTGGATATCATAATTATTTTTCAACTCAAATCTGGAAAAATTTATCGTATCCGGATCAAGTCCGAATCAAAACCCGACCCGTTGATACCTCTGCTCGTATGTATGCAATTGTGGTAATAACTTGACCTTACGTATTAATAGCATCTAAAGCATCATTTACAAAAAGATTTTAGTAGTATGATAGATCTCTATCATGCTCATACGTAATCATGGCAATAACTCGATGTTGTATATTAATAACGTCCGAAAGATCACTTTAAAAAAATTCTAGTAGTACGACAAACGCGGTAAGTTTGAAACTTAACAAAATTCAATCGTAACCTCTAAAAAATACTCGAGAAGGTGTCTAAACATGAACGGATAGAAATGCTTCAGATCTGTAACATTCCTATTTTCCTTACAAAAGAATTAATATTTAGAGTAGTTTCTTGGCATACTCTGCTAAAACAGAAAACACCATCCACTGACTAGCACACAATATTTTGCTTTGATCCCTTATTCCTGCAATTCTACGTGTTTAAGACATCCTTGACTTCGAATTACCCATCATTCACTTGTTCGAGGAAAATTCGACAAGTAGCACGGTGAGATGTTGACAACTGTTACCACATTTAATCTAAAAGCAGTTGTCATAGTCAATGCCATGGAATAAACATCGGAGCCCAACGGGGTGCCAGAGAAGACAGCGAACGCCAGAATGTTAAACACATATCTAGCAAATTATTCATGATACTGTGTGAAATTTCCACTTGCTCTGCATTGGTCAAAGCCTGGAAATGTTGGAATGACGTACGCTCTGCACTGAGAATCCATCATCATTGCACCGTTATTTGTATTACAGATTACGAATCAATGTCAGAATAAGCTAATCTATGGAATATCAAGATTACATCTTCGGTCTACCATTTGCATTTGGCCTATACATGTTGGGTTTATGATGGACAGGGTAGAGATAACTTGGACATCAACTGAATCAGAAGTCTTACCAAAGGTCTCCAGAAAGAATCGACTTCGATTATAACCCCAGGCAAAGGAAAAGATTTGAGAAGCAAACATCTAATTTCCAACTCAAATTAAGCCAATTTTCAAGGTTTCTGCGCAGAAAACATGATGAACGATTGTTGGACTTTGCTGGTATAGTTTATAAGACCACATGACGTGCACACGTCCTCGATCTCCTCCTTAGTCAAATAGTTGTAGTTCCGCCCAGCCTGCCAAAGAGATATGATTATAGAAAACAACTACACTACCTCATCAAAAACTTTCTGAAAGAAAGGTATGACGTTTAAAATTATTCCCCTAAGAAGAACGACTCCAGAGAAAGATGGGAGTTTACTGTTGGCTCTGTGCTTGTTCATGCCTATTTGTTCGTAAACTTCAATTGTACTCAATAATTGAAGTATTTGGAAAACTTTTATGGGCTAAATGCTACCCAAAGCATATGGTACATCCCAGATCTTACTACTCTCATCCTTCTCCTTTCTTTTTCAAATTCCATGTAGGTGCCCCAGCTGCAGCCACACTGCCACCCCTTGCTTACATGCCAACCGAAAGTCAGCTCCCAGAACTGAATACTAAAAGCCTAATATCTGACAGTTTTTCCAGCTTTGTATACACTACTGAAAATAACAAGACCGCAAACCAATTGGTTATTCCATAGTACTTCTACATCAGTAGCAAAACTGTTATTCCAGGTCAAAAGTGGTACTTTTTCAGTTCAAATTCTAATCGGTTCACCAAAGATCCCAAGCTAGGCATCATGTCCATTATTGTCAGCAACAACAGGTTTGCAGGAACCCTTCAAAAAAAAAAAAAAAGGACAACAATTACCTGTCTGAGAGGCCTCAAAAATGCAGGAGTCGATGAACTGAAACGAAGAAAAGTAGTTCCCACAAAAACACCACCACTTCGCAAGATACGATTGATTTCAGCAACCTGAAATAAGAAAGGCAAGGTAATTGCAACTGTACATTATTTCAAATATTCTTATCAAATAAAAGGATCACCCTCAATATGGCTAAATCACCAATCAGATGTATCCAATTCACCTCAAAGGCATCTAGAAACTTTTGACTACTAATTTTCTAGAGTCGATTCTACACTCTTTGAGTAAATAAAATAATGGACCAGCTAAATCAGGAAAAATGCAATAAAAATCATATCTAGAACATTGAAAGCAATTTGAGACACTACAAATACAAAGAAAGCTTACAGCATTAGAAGGAGATGGCCAACAATGCAAGGCTGCACCAGCATGAACGCCATCAACTGAACCAGAAGGAAAGGGAAGTCGGGAGATATCTGCCCTTACAAGAGCAAGATTGCTGCAGGTTTTTCAAACAGAATAGCTTCAGAAAATACAGATCTCTAACCAAAATTTTACATGCCTATAAAGCGTGAAGCACAATAATTCATATCCCAGAACCTGCAGCAGCTGCAAAGAGCATTTAATCAAAGTGACTTACGAGTTTAACATAGAATCGTCACTCTTGATAAAATCATAACACTGGAGAAGCATGTTTTCTGAAAAGTCAAGAGCAACAACTTTTGAATAGGTCCCCGATTTGGCAAACTTCCTGGAAAACAAGCCACTTCCACAGCTAACATCTACAAGAACACCGCCTTCTACAGGTTGAAAATACTCCTGCGCCATCTTGAACTGCATGGAATGTATCACACGCATAATTACCACTGTTATTGTTCCACAAATATTTTTGCAACTTTAATCCACGCAAACTAGGTCGAGGGCATGCACATTCAATTTAATTTCTTTGTCAACACATGTTGGTCACAGTGGATGCATGATAAAAGCCAGCCCTGACGCATGATTCCAAGTCAGTCTTCAGCAGGAAGAAGGATAGATAGGGCGTTTGCTGGCTCTCTTCTAGTTTGAGGTCAAAATGCTAAGTTTCTTGTGCTTCCTATCCAAAGAGGTCGCAAATCGTATAGCTCCCAGACACAGTTGAGCTTTTGCCCTGTAAGCCACTGGACTTGTTTACAGTGTTCTTATGATTTTCCCTTCTTTGTTTATTGGCTTCACAAGCTTTCTTACACTTGATCCAAAAGGGAATTCGCCTTCTTTGGCACATAGGTCAGAAAGGGAAAGAAGGATAATCCAACAATGTTTCACATAATTAAAATGCTTCCTCAGAACTGTACCCATGATACTTGTAGCTCATTCATTCAGCACTTATGGACACAATTAGAAGTCAATTTAAGTAGGAATTTTCCAGAATATATTAAGTGATTTTAATGGACTAAACCTTTCCTCACCAACCTCTCCAGTGACTTACAAAACTACTTATGTTTTCGACAGAAGGGAACACACATCAATTCTCCTTCATAAGGTGGGGTATGCATTTGGCTCCCATTGATTCCTAAATTGACACCATACTTTCTTATAGAGAATCTATTCCAAAGAGCTCATTACCTATTGGGAAATATCTGTAAAGTAACAATCAAAGAAAATTTACCTCATCATCAGGCCCAGGAAAACCACTACGATTAAAATTTTGACGCCAGCCTCTCTCATACAAGAAGGAAACAAGAGGGCTCCTAGTAAAGGCAAGAACACCAACATTAGACATGAGTGACTCATAAACCAATGTTAAGTTTCAAAAGGAACGTTCGCATCTTTTGATGAAGTGGCTACCAAATAGCGAAAATCACAAGCCCATCAAAAAGGGGAGTTAGTTCCAAACCAACAAAAGACACTAAAGTGTAGACTGCAAGCATGTTATAGAAAGCTCAGCATGCAACTCAAAGAGATGGTAACATATGCATACCTAAATAGCTCAGTTCCAGCAGGTTTAAATTCATTGTAATCCTTTGAACCAGCAGTAACTGTAAGATCAAGATAGATATTTTTGCTTGAATATGTCTTGTTACACGTTCTACATTTAAAACCAGATCTATAAATTGCAGGCCTGCAAATATTCAGCTTTTGAAAGTTATCATGCATAAAACATATAATGTGTCCAAAGTATTAGTATAAAAGAGGCATTAGATCTTACAGGTTAAATCCTGAAGGACCTTTTCTTACTAATGGATCATAGCAAATTGGGCAGGCAAACAAGTCAATTTTTGAGCCCTCCTTTGATTCAATTTGTGCTTCCTGAAGTAGAAAAGTACGCTATTAGGGAGAGACAGAAAATGGGACATTTGCATCTCTTCTTCGTTCTGCCAGATCAAAATCAAAAAGTATACCCAACATTTGCCCTGCAACTACCCAAGTCATCACTTAAGACAATGGCAAAATTGATTGACCCCCTTGGAATTACAAAATTTACATAATTTATACACATATTGTTAAACAGATATTAACAGATGCTCCAACAAAAAAAAAAAACTTTTGAGACAGTTATGAACGCAATAAGTGCAAGCACCTACCTTCATCCTGGGACAAAGACTGTTGCATAGCGAAATGCATGGAAGATCACTAGACACCTTATAGGCAAATTTACATGAATGAAGAACTAGGATTCACTTCTGAACACAACGGCAAGTCTCCCTAGAATTTCTGAACGCAACAAAGTTATTCATAGTCTGCATTGCAGCAATTACATTCTTTTTTCTCCCCATTAAATCGTCATACAATTAGAAAAAGATTTTCCACGTTTAAATGGTATAAATTTTGAAACACGATTGATACAGAAAGCAAAACAAGTCCATGAATGAATAGCATAATTTTCCAAAAGTATAGTCGGGTAAAGGAATGGGACGATAACTAAGCACCGAATAAACTCGAGATAATTTTTTCCCATATTTTTTCTTTTCTTTGGCCCCCTTCAAAATCATTTCCCTGCAAGATATCCTTGTGAAAATTAACAGTAGTTAAAACACTGGGCATCAAATTTCAGTAGCTCCTAAAGCATCCAAGAGAGTGTAAATCAAACAAATGTACATAATAATTCTAGTATTTGTTAGGGAAGTAGGGAAGGAAGGACAAGAAATATTTACTGGTTCAAGAGCAACAGCAGAGGTGGCCCGGATAATTTGTCGAAACTGTTGAGGGGAGGAGCACCGGAGAGGAGGATGAGACAGGGAATTATAAGGAAAAAAAGGGCATTTCGGGTCTAAAGGAAAACGATCTTGGACTCCAATCATCCAAGGCGAAAAAGCCACGGCTGCCATCTCAATAATCTTCTTCTTCTTCTTTTCAGTAATTTCTTCTTTGTTCTTTTGAAAAATGAGTGATTTCGTTTCTTCTGCTTCTCAAATCATGTGCTTTCTTCTTTGTTCTTTCTCTTTGCTTCTCGACGTTTATTGGTGGCAGTATTATATAGGTATATAGACAAGGCTATATATATGGGGGATTTCAAGAGGGAGAGGGGAAGGGGAGGGAAATTTTTGTGATAATTTTGTTGCATTATTTTTTGCGGGATTTCTTTGCGTGGACAGAGGAGGGATGCATCTGTCAGCTCTGCTGCCCGTGTGAGTGTGTTTAGTTGGCGAACTTGAGGATACCTTCTCGCCGCATCATTATTTCAATATGGGAATTTTTCTTTCTTTTTCTTTTTTGTTTTTCTCTTTAAATACGACGGTGTCTTAAGGAGAAACTCTATCCTGGAATCTGAACTACAGAATTAAAAAAGAAAAAAAAGGTCCAAATATTTACTAAACCCGGCCCTGCAAGGGAAATCCAATCTCAACAAGTGATTGGTTCGATCAGTGGGTCACTAGTTGAACCGGCAGTTACTAATTTAATATTTATAAATATAAAATAATAATTTAAATATATATAAAATAGCTAATAAAGTGCTATTAAATACTAATTATTGTACTTAAAAAGATATATAATGAACATACAAATATTAATAGAAGATTTAATTTTATTTTGTGGTACTTTTACATAAATAAATAACAAAGTCAAATATAAAACAAATTTGTGTCACTTGTTTTAAAGATATAGCATCATTTTTTTATTAATTTATTTTTATTTGAAAATAAAATAATTTTCTAGCTACTCAAATATTATCAGTTTGACAGTTAAAAGAATTCATTGTATAATAAAAAAGTAAACAAGCTTGTTTTTTTTTTAAAAAAAATGTAATTATCAAATAAAAACTAAACAAGTGATAAGAGTTATGTACATTTAAATGAATATTCAATTTATAAATATTGTCAAAAGTATTTATACACTTTGTTTCAAAAAACAAAAGCCTACAATTGTATTATAGAAAAAAAAAAATTCAATTGGAAAACTGGAATGATTTCCTAGTGGATCAAAGTCAACTCCTTATTTGACTAAACTAGAGATCCAATCTGGCCTAATGCCGAATCACCGGACCGACTGAGTCAGCTATTGGGTTGGGCCAAAGTTAATAATCTACGGTCCAATCCCAGGTTTAGCTAAATACTAGATCGGGACATATGATGGAGTAAGAAAATTTTAAATGAGCCAAAATGTAAAAGGTTGCAAAAGTCACACTTTGATTGTACTCAAAACACAAATTATTGTTGCACAACCCAATCAATAAAACAACTTTATCCAACGATGCAAAATGTTCCTCATTTAAGACTGAGGATTAAGTTCCGCGTAATCAGCTGGTCCGTATGGTTCAATCAACTCTGAGAAGAATCCCTTCTTTCTTCTGGGGTTGCATCCAATGTCTTTGCACAATTGATCGTTGTACCATATGTGCGAAGCACCAAGACAGGATCTTCTGTAGTACTTGCCAGCATAACGCTTCATGTACCCGTCCCACATGCGAACATCCTTCTCCATTTCCTTTATGCTCGGCAATTGAAAGGTTTGATCAAGAAAATGTCCCAGCCATCTGCATTTCATTTCGAGAGTGTAAAGGTTGTTCAGGCTCTCTGAGTATCCTATCACTGCAAGTTGTGGAATTCGCGGATGAATGATCTGCCTGGAATACACATTTGAGGCCAATAATCAAAACCTTTAATTATTAGCAATAATTATGTGACGCCAAACTCGTGTGAATAGATAGTGTCACAGCGTCAAAAGTAACAAATGTAATAGATCTCAGAAAATTGTGATGAGTTTGCAGTTCCAAAGTCCAGTAGTAATACCTGTATAAAGATATTGTGGAGCTTGCTGACCCTAAGATGCACTCCTGGAAAGATGGACAAGTGAAAATATTGCCGAGTTTCTGATCACCTCGGTATCCAGTGGCAAGAATTATAACGTCTGCTGTCAAGGGCTGAGTTTCTCCATCAATCATCAATCCTTCTCTGCAGAAGCTGATGTTTTTTGACTTCTTCAATACAATGCTTCCGTCCACCACTTTGTCATAGAAATTTTCGGGTAGCACGAGGATTTGACAAGAAGACATTTCTTGTAGAAAGCCATGCGGTGGTACCATGTTGTACTTCTTCAAGGGAAGTTTCCATCTGAGATAGCTCTCTACAAGTTTTGCGATACCCCATCTCTGAAATTCACATTCGTACGCCGTTTGAGTTATGCATTATACATGTCGTTTTGAATAAAGCATGCGAGGCATTTTTTCTATAATTAATTAAGAAGCTAACCAAAGGTGAGAGAAGGAAGGCTAATGCACTAAGTAGGAATCCTTCACCAGGCTTGTGCACCAAAATCTCTGCGAATCGATTGTAGTACAAGTAATGAAGGCTCACTCCTCCCCATACATAGTAGCTAGGAAGCACCCAGTGAGCTGTTCTCTGAACCATTGTGCAAGGGTTGTCAATCCCTGGTGAGTAGCAAGTCATATTTTAGTTAATTAAGCATTGCATGACTTTAAAATTGCTTTCATACGCAACAAGAACTTTTTAGCACATCTAAAAAGTGACCAAATGTATGCAAGATAGATAAAAGTTCTATATCCGAGGAGGAAATCTCAAGAAGCAAACCATAAATCGCATCCAGGAAGGCCACTTTCTTTTTTTAACTTGATACATTACAATTTTGGGGTCAATGCGAAGAGATAGATAATTATCGAGTCACACTCATTCATGATACACTGCAATTTGCAATTTCTTACCATTTACATTTGCACATTGAGCAGCCATGTCCACTGCAGATTTCTGTGAACCTATGATTGCAATGTTTTTTCCTTTGACCAATGCCGCAGCACTGGCATTGTCCATGGCCGAGTAGTCCATGGAATGCAACACCTTACCACCAAAAATTTCAGGACCATGATTTGGAGGGAATTCAGGGATGTTTGGCACACCACTGAATCTTCCAATACAAAGAATCACAAATTCCACCTCATATTCCTGGAAATTGAAATGACACGCTGACAACCCGTATGAAGATAATGCCATCATTCAGACAACTTAATAAAGATTGATCTAAAAGACTGACCCCCGTTGTTAAATCACCTTAAGATGGATTTTTTTTTAAAAAGTGCCAAATTTTTTCTTCGGGCAAAGATCACAAAATTACCTTAATGGATTTGTCTTCAGTAGTGTGCTGAACTTTCATGTTCCATTTGCCTTTGGAGCCAAAGGGCTGTCCTGTTCCACCCCAAAGATCCCAGGCCTGCATCTCTTCACGGGAAACGCCCACATAATCGATGCCAATCACTTTGGAGTTGAACTTGATGTAAGGTAACAAGCCAAAATGTTGAGCATAAGATTGAACGTACTTCAAGACTTGAGTGTTGCCAGGAAATGTTTCTTTAACAGAAGAGGGCCATGGGAAATCAGAAAACAAGAAAACTTCTGTGGAATTCTGAAGTTTAGTAGACTCAATGGTGTGATTCCACAGGCCACCAACGCAGTCTTGTGCCTCGAAGACTATCGGATGATAACCTTTTGCTAGAGCATACTTGCAGGCAAGCAGGCCGCTGATTCCAGCTCCGATGATAGCTATTCGTTTCTCCATTATTATTTGGTCAATTTTGGAAGGCAGAAAATGCAACGGGAGCTTTTTGTATTAGTAGGCATGCAACCGGAGCTTCTTGTATAAATAGGCATGCAACGGGGCATCATGTGACCGGTGGCATTGGGTTGGGCTGCTGTATTATCTTTGAATAACCCACCCATCCGGTTGACATGACAAGATAATACTAGGCCAGTAATACACTGTGTTTGGATAGATTATTTGAAATATTATTTAGAATAATTACTGTAGCATTTTTTGTGATATGATATATGTGAGATAAAAAATAGTTAAAAATATAAAAAAGTAAATTAAAAAATATTTTTATAATGCAAGCAAAATATTATTTGAGATAATTTGGCAATCCAAACACACTACTACTACTAAGTTTTTTTTTTTTTTTTTTGAAGGAACTACTACTACCAAGTACTAAGTTACTGCACGTCGCTACGAGTGCAGTGCTAAAGTTGCCCGTTAAGGCAAGTATTTTATTAGAAACATTGACGTTTATGATTCTCAATCCGTTTTCGCAGAGTCAATTGATGGGTTCATCAAAACAACAATAACTTCGTTTTCTTCTGCAACAGAATGTAATGACGACGGTATATCATCTCTATGTATTGGCCTAGAGATGGCAGAGTAGTTTGTACTAATATTTTTCCAGGTTTCGATCTAATGCATGCGTTGGGCAGAAAACTGTCTCCGAATTCATGGTTGGATAGCCTAACTTGCGTCGGATTTCGCAGGATAAATGAATATGAACAGGATGAAAGTGATAAATTCGCTTACTAATTGGTACATATTCAGTACACGTTTTACACTTTCATTTCTGCAGTCACCAAAGTGCCCATGGACTCTTTCTGGAAGACTGAGTTACCTTTCATTCTGTTTGTTTTAAAGTTTAAAGTTTACACTAAACAGGATGCTCCTTCCAAAATGATTCTGCACGAAGTATAGGACAAGGAAAATGTGGCCGTGCATAAGGGACAAATTTCCTAGTGATCAAATTAGTGAAACTGCAATCAGGTTTCAATCAACTCACTTAAGAAACAAACTGATTATGTCCTGAAACAGGGTCACCGAACTCTTGGTGTGGATACCAATGAATTGTTTCGAGGGATGGGTAGTTTTTAACATGAAGGATTGATACGGGCATCATCATTAAGCGCTTCATCTGCATGCTTTAGGAACCTGTATTTGGACATTACAGGTAACGAATTTATGACAGCCCAAACGTACAAGTTTACAGATTATAATTTCGCCTATGAATTGTTGGTGTCGGTAGCCTCAAAATTAGCAAATGCGACGTTGAGTTTTCTGCAGACAATTCCCGGACGGAAATAAAAGCCAGTAATTCGCCTACGATCTAGTTGTGGCATTTACTGACGGACAACCACCGTCCGGATCATCATTCATTGCTTTCTTTTCTTTTTTTCTTTTTTTTTTTCACAGCGGTAACATTAGTATTAGGGTTAATTACATTTACCTCCCCTGAGTTTTGGCCAAACTACCAAACAAACCTTGAGGTTTGGCCAAATAACAATCGACCCCTTGCAATAAACAGATGTTTATCAAAAACCTCCCTAACGTCCTAAGGTGTTACAGAATCTGCTGATGTCAGCACAAAGCTATTG